GGGGCCCTTCCAGGGCCATGGCTCCTCTCAGGGAGGGAACACACAGGCCACCGCTCCGGCCCCAAGGAGCCCCTGGCCCCTTGCCGAGCATCGTGAGGTGGAAGTTTGGGGGTTCAGCTTCTCCTGCTCCCGCCTTCATACCCCATCTTTCCTCCTACCCTCCGTCTGCACAAGCTGGGCTGGAAGGGCCCTGCCCACGGCCCTCTCTAAACCTGCACGGGAAGATCCTTCTAGAAGCCCCCGGTGTCTCTCGGCACCCACTGAGCAGAACCCCGTCGTGTGCCCTGTAGAGCAATGAGTCAACAGGAACAGGTTCCCGCCCTATGCCTGGGCTCGGGGACTCGTGGAAGGGCCCCAGCTCACTCCCACACTGGAACAAGTCGGCTCTGGTGCGAGGTAAGTGGACAGCAGTGTGGGCAAGAGGGTGCTCGCACGTCCTCGAACTCGCCTCCCGGTGCATGGAGGGAGTGAGGCTGCACGGGAGCCCCACCAGGGCAGAGAAGGTTCCTGACACCGTGGAAACGCCCACGGCGATTCCCTCCAGGAATCCTGGGCTATACCTCGAGCAGTAAACAAGCAAGCAAGTCAGTAAGCGAGCCAATAAATCGGAAATGGCGAATTCACTTAAATCAGGCGCCCAGGGAGTGGGACAGTGTCCCGCTGTTTTAGTGTACAGGAGTGTGCGGGCATTTGTCCCCAGACACAGACGCCAGCCCTGCACCCTTCGGGCACGTTTCCTCGGGGCCAGACAGAGCGCAGGGCCTGAGCACGTGCCCACTCGGTTTTCGTCCTGGCACACATGCCCTCCCGAGTCCGACTCCGCGGGCGGCAGCCCTGACGTGGCGGGAATTCTCCCTGTGAGCCAGGAGAAAGCTAGGAGGCCTGTGCTGAGAGGCGGGAGAGCTGTTTTATTACGCGCGTACCCAGCAGAGACCCCACTCCAAAGCTGGGCCCGGGGCCAAGGGCGGGTGCCCCCTGCCCAGACTGCCCGCAGGCTGGAGTTTGCAGGCAGCTGGTGCAGAGGTCGGAATTCCCAGACCAGGCTCTGGGCACCGCGAGCACTCGAGCCCGTTGGAGGCTGTTCCCAGGTCCTCCGGTTCCAGCGCCAGACCAGGACCTTCCTGAACTCACTCGTGTGCTGTTGTGTCACCCAATCTCCACTGCGCCGGCAGCTCCTGCCGCTGCTGTCAGCCTGCTGAGTGTGCGTGCGTGCGTGCGTGTGTGTCTGTGTGTGCGCACGTGCATGTGTGTGTGTGCATGTGTGTGCATGTGTATGCATGTGTGTGTGTGTGTGCGTGTGTGTGTGTGCATGTGTGTGTGCCCGTGTGGATGCGTGCGCGCACGTGTGTGTGTGTGTGTGTGGTGGAGGGGGCGGGGGCTCTGTTCCTCTCTAGAGGCCCGTCATAGCCCTCGTAACACCATGTTCTCAGGCTTTAGTAATGACCCTGCTCACTGGGAAGGGCCTCTGGCTCCTGAGTTCCAATGAGACCCAACCCCACCCCCGCCTCCAAAGATGCATTTCCTTTTTGGGCTGGAGCAATAGCACAGTGGGTAGGGTGTTTGCCTTGCACACGGCCGACCTGGGTTCGATTCCCAGCATCCCATATGGTCCCCTGAGCACTGCCAGGAGTGACTCCTGAGTGCAGAGCCAGGAGTAACCCCTGTGCATCGCTGGGTGTGACCCAAAAAGCAAAAAAACACAGAAAAACAAAACAAAAAAACCCCAAAAAAACAAAGATGCATTTCCTTTTTAACTGTTTTGGTGCCACACCCATCAGTGCTCTGGATTTACTCCTGGCTCTGTGCCCAGGGATCACTCCCTGTGGACTCAAGGGGCCACTTGGGATTCTGAGAATCAAACCTGGGTTGGCTGTGTGCAGGGCAAGAGCCCTCCCCTCCCCCCAGCACTATCTCCCCAGCCCTGGCTGTCCTTTTTAACTTTTTAAACTCAGTTTCTGAAGTAAGAATGTGTCAAATCACACAGGAAGGCACAGGCTCCTGGGAACCGAGTCTCTGAGACCTCTGGAAACTGTGAAAGCACAGCGATGCTCTCCCCCATCACTTCAGTGTGCAGTGCAGAGTGCACACAGTCCCTGAACCCTCCTCTGAGGAGCTGACTGCTGCAGCTCCTCCCCCGGCACTGCTGTTTCGAGCTGGCGGCTTTAGGGCGCCTGTGGTATAATTGTCCGTGAGTGCGTGTGGCCTGGAAAGATCCCACCCTGAAAAGGAAGAAGACCCCACTCTCCCGGTGGCGTGGAGGCAGGAGTGCAGGAGCTGCTCTCCGTGTGCAGGTGTCTCGTCCCAGAGAGTCGTGCTCCTGTCCCCCCACCCCAGAGCACAGCTCTGGCACTGAGGTGTCCTCCGTGGGGCGAGCGACTCTATTTTTTTCTTTAATTTTTATTAGTGAAACACCATGAGAAACAGTTGTAGACTTACAAATTTTTGTGCTTGGGCTTCAGTTATACAATGGTCGAGTAACCATCCCTCCACCAGTGTCCATTCTCCACCACCATGGATCCCAGTACCCCTCCCACCCCCATCCCCTCATCCCACCCTGCCTCTGTGGCAGGGCACTCCCTTTTGTTCTCTCTCTCCTATTGGGTGCTGTGGTTTGCATTGAGTGGCAATCATGTTCGGTCTACAGTCTACTCTCATCACGCATCTCCCATCCTGGGAGGATCCTCCCAACACCCTTTATTTGGTGCTCCCTTCTCTGTCTGAGCTGCCTTTTCCCCTAGCATGTGTGGCTGGCCTCCAAGCCATGGAGTGAACCTCCTGGTACTTATCTCGGCTCTTCTTGGGGGTTAGTCTCCTATTTTGTTACTTTATGTTGTTCCCCAGATGAATGCAGTCTTTCTATGTCTATCCCTTTCTTTCTGACTCACTTCGCTTAGCTTGATACTTTCCATGTAGTACCACTTGTATGTAAATTTCATGACTTCATCTTTTCTAACAGCTACATAGTACTCCATTGTGTAGAGGTACCAAAGTTTCTTTAACCAGTCATCTGTTCTCGAGCACTCAGGTTTTTTCCATTTTCTGGCTACTGTAAACAGTGCTTCAATGAACAAACAAGTGCAGATGTCACTTCGACTATACGTTTTTGCCTCTCTGGGATAAATTCCCAGGAGTGGGTCAAATAGGAGCTCAATTTCTAATTTTTTAAGACTCGTCCATACTGTTTTCCAAAAGGGCTGAACCAGTCGGCATTCCCACCAGCAGTGAAGGAGAGTCCCTTTCTCGCCACATCCGCGCCAACACCAGTTGCTTTTGTTCTTTTGGATGTGGGCCAGTCTCTGTATTGTGAGATGGTATCTTACTGTTGTTTTGATCTGCATCTCCCTGATGTCTAACGTTTACTCATGTTCCTTTTCGCCATTCGGATTTCTTCCTTGAAAAAGTTTCTGTTTATTTTCGAGCGACTTTTCTTCAGCAGTGAAAGCTCTTGACCACACACTGACAGCTCTCACAGTCGAGAGCCCGAGGAGGAGTCACCGGGGGCAGGTGGGCTGAGCCTCTGTGCTGGGGGTAGGGCGGCAGCGACCCACGGGCGTGGGATGGGACGGGCCTGCTCACAGGTGCCCAGGCCAGAGACCAGGGCAGGAGGGTCTGGAAGGTGAGTCCCCAGGGTCCCAGAATGCCCATTCCTGACGGTGCCAGGGGCTGAGTCCTCCACGGGGGCGTGATGTGGACTGTGCAGTGCTGAGGGGTCTGCAGACAGGCTGAGGGCTGCCGGCCTCTCCCCCAGCTCCTCTCTTCCCTGCCTCTTTCCTGACCCTTCTGTCCTGCAGTTCCCGGGGTCACGGGGCACCCTGAGGCACCAAAGGGCTGGCCTCAGAAGGAAGCTGCTTCCCTCTGGTTTCCCGTGGCTGAAGGAGATACGGACTGACCACGTCCTTCTGGAAACCGTTGGGGGTCAGGCCTGAGCTTTCTGGGAGCTCACACTCCTGCTCATGGCCCCACAGGAGCTCACAATCCCCCTCAGTGCCACATGCCCTACCCAGGCACCCGTCCGGGAAGCATAGGTGGGCTTGTGTGGGACGATGGTGCCCGAGCTCACCCTCCCGGGCTTTACTGGGGGCAGCCACAGGCTCCAGCGTCCGTCCTGGGGCTGCTGGTGGCTCTGAGGGCTGGGGATCTCTGGTTCTAGCCCTGGCATTGTGTCGTCCACCTCCGGGGGTGACCAAATGCTGCCCCGTGGACAAAGGCTGTGGACTCCAGCCCCCCACGAGGCCCGAGGAAGCCCCTGGTCTGGGTCCCCTGAAGGCACGTCAGAGACCCTGCCTGCCTGTCACCGGCCTCCTGTGTGACACTTCTATAAATCCCTCCTTCACGGCCACGCAGAACCCATCGATGATTGATTTGGCTGAGGAAAGAAGACAGTTTGCCGAGAACGGGAGGCAAGCTCTGCCTCTCCCGGGTGAGGCTGGAGCGAACGGGTCTGTGTGGAGTGGGACTCCTGTGACCAGGCTGTGTTCTGGCGTGGGGGGGTCCTCATCGGGATTCTCCTGGCTGTTCTCTTTTTGGGGCCGAGGGGCGTGGCCCCGAGGGTGGGCGGGGCGGGGCGGGGCGGGGGCGGGGCCTGCGCTCACGGGGCGGGGCCTGGGCCTCACGGGGCCGGGCGTGGATGCACGGGGCGGGGCCGGCACTCGGGGGCTGGGGCCTCGACTCACGGGGGCGGAGATGGAGTTCCCGGGGCGGGGCCTGGGCTCGGTGGGCGGGGCGCCGCGGCTCGGGGGCGGGGCCGGGCTCGGGGGCGGGGCCGGGCTCGGGGGCGGGGCCCGGACTCCGGAGCGGGCCGGGACTCACCGAGCGGGGCTGGGCTCAGTGGGCGGGGCCTGGATCGGGGGCGGGGCCCGGACTCCGGAGCGGGCCGGGACTCACCGAGCGGGGCTGGGCTCAGTGGGCGGGGCCTGGAACGGGGGCGGGGCCGGCTCGGGGGCGGGTCGGCGGGGCGGGGCCTGCGCGCTGGAGCGCCCGAGTTCCGCGGGCGCTCGGCAGGACGCGCGGCGCCGAGATGCAGGCGACGGAGCTGCGGCCCCGGCGGCCCCCGCGCAGCCCCGCGGCGCGCGTCGGACGCGCCCGCCCGGGCCCCGCAGGTAAGCGACGGCGGCGGCGCTGCGCGTCGGGCTTCCCGGCCCTTCCTCCGGCCGTGGCGCCGTCCCGCGCCTCGCCTCGCCCGTGGGGGCGGCCGGACGGACACTCGCTCCTGAGGGCGCCCGGGGCCGCGTCCGGGCGCCGCCGCGGGCCGGACAGCGGCGGGGCCACGGGGGCGGGGCGGGGGCCGGCGAGGGCTCAGGTGGCCGCAGACCGTGACGGCAGCGGAGTGACGCGGGACGGCCCGCGCGGGACACGGGGACAGTCCGCCTCGGGCACGGTCTGTGTGGGACCCGGCACGGCTCTGCGGGACGGGGGGCTCTGGGTGGGACGCGAGGACCCTCGGACCCGGGGACAGTGTGCGGGGCCCGGGGCAGTCTGGGACGCACACTCGCGGGCACCGTCCGTGCGTTCCCGTCCGCGGGGCCGGGCCTCGTCACGCCGCCACCTGACCGTCAGCATCACACCTGGTCGCAGCTGAGGAAACGCAGCCGCCGAGTCTTGGCTCTGGGAAGAGCGCGCAGCGGGTGGGGGATGGCCCGGCCTGGCGCCCAAGGCGGTCGCGCGCTGGCCTGAAGCCGGGTGGCGGCCCGGGCCCTCCACACACACACACACACGCACACACACGCACACACACGCACACCAGCCTTTGCCTTTCACTGTGCTTCTTCCCGGTGTAGAAAGCTGATCCGGGCCTCTCACCTGCTGAGGGGGTCTGACTTTACTGAGGTGGGAGTCTGACCTGCTGAGGAGGCATCTGGCCCACTGAGGGGCATCTGACCTGAGGGGGGGTCTGACCTACTGAGGAGGGTTCTGACCTGCTGCGGGGGGGGGGGGGGGGAGGTCTGACCTTACTGAGGGGGGAGTCTGACCTGCTGAGGGGCGTCTGACCTACTGAGGCGGGTCCGACCTACTGAAGGGCATCTGGCTTACTGAGGAAGGGTCTGACCTACTGAGGGGCATCTGACCTGAGGGGGGTCTGACCTACTGAGGAGGGTTCTGACCTGCTGCGGGGGGCAGGGTGTGACCTTACCGAGGGGGGAATCTGACCTGCTAAGGGGCATCTGACCTACTGAGGCGGGGTCCGACCTACTGAAGGGCATCTGGCTTACTGAGGGGCGTCTGACTCACTGAGGAAGGGTCTGACCTACTGAGGGGCATCTGACCTGAGGAGGGGGGTCTGACCTACTGAGGAGGGGTCTGACCTACCAAGGGGGGCTCTGACCTGCTGAGGACTTTGCTCCTGCCACTCACAGGAGCTGCTTCCCCTCAGTCCTTAATCCTTGAACAAATGTTTGTTCAGCCTCTGGCCCGAGACCATTTTTCTCTCCCCAACTTGATGGTGAGTTGGGTTGCTCTGGCGTCCTGCTGGGGGCGATTTGGGACGAGGCTGGCCGTGTTTCCAGGGCCGGGGTCTCTTTGACCTGGGTTTGGTGTGGCCTGCAGTCCGTCCCCCTGCACCCTTCGGCTTGGCTGGGCTCTGGGTCCTGGGCATGGAGCTGTCCCACTAGAGCGGCATCTGTTACGGATTCCTGTTTGCTGCTGGGGGTTTGGGCCGTGCGCCCCCTCCCCCATCTCATCCTCGGGAACCCCCTTTCTTCTCTCAGCCCTGTGATCTGCTTCCTGTGTGCATGGCAGCATCTCTTCTCTCTGGGCGCCGGGCAGTCTGGGACTTTGCTCAGGGTCTGGAGGTGTGCCCTTCCTTCTCCTCACCTGCAGCCACACCCCTACCAGGAGCAGGGGACCAGCATGTGTCAAGGTTTTCTCCCCCCTCGGGTGCGGTCAGAGGCTCCCAGGGCGATGCACACCCTCAGAAGTGAGGGATGGGGCCTCTGCAGAGTTCCGCAGGGCCTAGAGGGCGGGGGTGTGTAGGTGCTGGGTGTATGTGAGTATAGCTGGGGCGTGTGTGAACTGGGACGCATGAGTGTGTGTTGTAGTGTTAGTTGGGTGTGTGTGCAAGGTGTGTGTATATGTCGGGTGTACAGGGTGTGTGTTGGGGTGTTTGGGGGTTTTATGTTGGGGGATGTATTGGGATATGTGTGTGAGTATATGTATACATTGGGTGTATGCGAGTGTGGGGGTGTGTATATATTGGGGTGTATGTGTGAGTATCCGTTGGCATGTGTGTGTGTTGGGTGCGTGTGTATTGAGGTGGGGTCCCCTGTGGAGGTTTGCCTTCCGGAGGGTGCCACGACCTAAGGGAGTTTTTGCTGCGTGTTTGGCTGATCGCCCATTGGAATCTTCTGGAAGAGGGTTTTTCTCACGCCTTGTTTCCGTCCATCACTGGCCCCTCCCCCTAGTTTCTGAAAATGTTCAAGTGGCTGATTGAAGAAAATGAGGGATTTCTGGAAGTTTGAGGGGTTGTCCTCTCTTTTCCAAAAACATGCCCTCACAAATAGTTGAAGGGGGAAGCGCCCCTTTCTCCGTGTTTACTTTCCCTCTGCTGGAGTTGAAGCAGCTTTTTATTACAGGCCTGGAACCTTGACACCAAGAAGTTTGGACTCTGGGACTCTGACTTGCGGTGCACGTTCCCCAGGCCTGCAGCTCTCATTTGGCTGAAAGCTCCCCCATCTCCTCTGGTCAGAGTGGCCACCCCCACTCTGCTGTGTGCTTGGACTTCCTGCCCGGGCCGGCCCCAGGATGTGGGAGGCAGCCTTGTCCAGTGCAGCCCTTCCAGAGTGGTTGGGTGGAGCCGCCACTTGGGCCTAGGCACCTGCCCCACCTCCCTGCCAGCCGGCACATGCTGAGGACACACCTGGGATAAGCGCCCTTTGCCCCTGCCAAGGCCATGGGGCTGCTCCCAGTGCAGTAAACTGGGAGAGTGAGAGTGTGTGTGTGTGTGTGTGTGTGTGTGTGTGTGTGTGTGAGCATGTTTGTGCTTGAGCGTATGCATTATTTATGTGGTTGTGGTTATATGTATATGTGTGGAGTATATGCGTGTGACCATGAGTGAGATATGTGTGTATATGTGGTTTGTGTGTGGAGTATATGAGTACGTAAATGTATTTGTTAGTGTGTGAGAGTGTGGTGTATGAGTGTGTATATGTGGCATATATGTGTGGTATATGTTTGGTTTGGAGGGTATGTGTGTGAATCTATGTGTGAATCTCTGTGTGCTGTGTGTGTGAGTATATGTGTGGTATACGGGTATATGTGTGAATATCTGTGGTGTGTGCATGTGTGTGTGAATATCTGTGGTGTGTGTATGAGTATATGCATGGTGTATATGAGTGTATGTGTGATATATGTGGAGAGTATATGTATCTGTATGGTGTGTGTATGTGTGGTGTGTGTGTGAGTATCTGTGTGGTGTGTGGAGTGTATGTGAGTATTTGTGTAGAATGTGTGTGTGTCTGTGTGGTGTGTGATTGTGTGTGTGTGTGTGCACGCTATGTTGCTGTGTTGGGGGTGGTGTCGCACTCACCCCTGGCTGCTCTGTCGGGTTTCTCCCAGCCCTCCAGGCCCGGGCACCGGGTGTGGGAGGCCCCGTGTAGTGTGAGTGGGCCATGCATACTGTCTCCTTACCGGATCAGTTCTTTCCTTTCTCGTCCCCAGCTCTGGCCTCCCTGCTGAAGCCCCACTAAGCTGAGCAAGCCGCCTCCCTAGAATGAGTGGTGGGGGGGTCTCCGTCCTTAGGAGTCAGGGAAAACAGGGTCCGAGGCTCTGGAGCAGTTGAGCGGAGCCTTCCCGGCTGTCTGCTCTTTTTTTTTTTTCTTTCTTTTCCTTTTTGGGTCACACCCGGCAATGCACAGAGGTTACTCCTGGCTCATGCACTCAGGAATTACTCTGGCAGTGCTCGGGAGACCATATGGAATGCTGGGGATCGAACCCGGGTTGGCTGCATGTAAGGCAAACGCCCTACCCGCTGTGCTATTGCTCCAGCCCCCTGGCTGTCTGCTCTTGACTGCGTCTCAGAACACCCCTCTGAGCACTGCCTTGACCACCTCTGGGCCCAGAAAGGCTGTCAGTCCAGAGGCTCAGGCCAGCAGTGGCCGCGGTGAAGGCCGTAAACACTAGACTGGCTCATCACACACACAAGAAAACAAGTAACACAGCACCCATACGTGGAGGTGATGAATGTCTGGATCCAAGGCTAAGTGTGTCCCTCAGCTCCCTCCGGGAGGGAGGCTCCAGGCCCACCAGGATCTCTGGCTCTGCTGGGCCTCGTGGCCCGTGGTGGGCATCGGGGTAAGGGTGGGGTCAACACGTCAGGGCTAGAGCAGGCGCTGCGTGCTGGAGGGCTTCACGCAGGTGGTATCAGCCCCCGGACCCTGGGACAGGACTCTGCGCGCCTCTCCTGGGAGAGCCCAGGGCGGGGCAGAAACTCCTGATCTCTTGTCCTCTGTGTCACTGACCCTTGCCCGCAGCAAGGACACTGTGGCCTCGGCCTGCACAGGCTCTGCATGGGGCCTGCTTGGACCCGTAGGACGCGCATCCTGAGTTTGGACGGGCAGCAGGAACTGGCGCGAGGGCACACAATGCGTGTTTTACCAGCCGGCTTCATTGGCATGCAGTGTGGACGCCTGGAGCTCCCAGCCAAGTGCCAGGCTGCTTCTGAGAGCGGAAACCTGGTGGTGTCCATGCGGCCGCTGGACCCTGAAGGGGCCAGTGTGCTCGCACTCTCCCTCTCTCCCTCTCCCTCTCTGTCTCCTCTCCTCCCTCTCTCTCCCCTTTTCTCTCTCCTTCTCTCTCCTCTCTCTCTCTCCCTCTCCCTGTCTCTCTCTCCTTCTCTCTTTCTCTCTGTGTTTCTCTGTCTCTGTCTCTGTCTCTCCCTCCCTTTCCCTCTCTCTTTTCCCCTCTCCCTCTCTCCCTCTCTGCCACCAGTCCGAACCCCAGGATGCCAGGTGGGCAAGGACTCCCCTGCCCACCGCGCCCGAGGAAGGAGCACTGCTTCGGAGAGCTCTGACCTACTGGTGCCCATTTCCTGCTCTCAGCTGAATTGCAATGCAGAGGTGAACAGTGACGGGTGCTGTGCGGCGTGTCTTTGGGCTTGCCAGGGTCT